CCCAAAACCCCAAAACCCCAAAACCCCAAAACCCCAAAACCCCGAAACGGACTTTTACTTTTGATTATTTGTAATATGGGTCTGAACCAGAGGAGAAAAATGAAGCGTTTTTGGAGGATTCGTGAAGGACTTGGAAAAAGTCAGGAGGGCAGTTGGGTGGGAGGGAGGATTGCAGGCGAGAGGTGGAGTTGAAGGAGGGATCTTCGGTGGTGTGGGTGGGATTGGAGAGAGGGGTTTTGGAGGGTTGGAGGTCTATTTTGGGTGAGAGAGGGGTACTTTGTTTTGTGGAGAGGAAGGTGAGGAATATGTCTGGGTTGAGTGTTGGGTCCTTGCAAGCATTTGCGATGTCGCTGTGGAGAGTTTTGGGGAAACTTTCTTTTTCTTTAAGGATCTCTTCTATTGTCTCGATAAATTTAGTATTTAGTTTTGATCGTAAAGATGATATTTTTGTGCTCCCATCAATTGGGATCTCAAGTTTATTTTACTAAAGCTATTAAATAATATTTACAGATTTGATTAACATTGTATCTAATGTAAAGGTTGTACTCCTTCATAAGTTGTCTATAAATTAAAATGTTCTTTACCTTTTATCTTTAATTCTATTTTTTGCAATTAACTTAGAATTAACAGCAGCGAAGATCTTGGCCCAATTCCCCTTTTTCTCTTTAGAGCTCATCATAGTCTTTGTGACTTCAACAAACTGAGCCTTTGTCATCCCTTGAGCACTCTATTTCTCATATCAATACCTCTATTCACTCCTACTTACCTCTTTACTACTTTTGCTAACCTCATCATCAGAAGTTCCGTATCCTTCTAAATTTAGGCAATATTTATTTATCCATGACAAAAATTTCATTGTCCATATTTTTACAGTTTTGTCTCTTTAGTCTTTTCTCTAAACATCAAAATGTAACCAGAACACAATTCACGAATAAATTCATCATTTCTAGATGAAATTCTCTCAGGAAATATCAGAAAATTTCTAAAGGCTTTTTCTGACTAGAGAATCTGAAAGCTGATAATCAAAAGTATCCTACCTTCATCTTTATCAAGATATTTTATGAACCTATGGGTTTAGGGAATAATCTTACAAGTCTTTCATATTAGAAATATCTGTATTAGCTGATATTAGAGTGTCGTAGTGAGATACTCCTTCCTCTCTAGAGCCTTCTTGCCACCCACCTTCAACTATAGAATTTTATAAGAATCTTCAGTAGCAAACAGATAATTTTGAGGTTATACTAAAGCAATTTTAAGGAGTGATAGAATTTCAATAATTAAAACTGTACCTCCTTCATCACTAGTTTCAGAACACCATTCTCTCTCTAAACTTTCAGTCTCTTTTCTATAATTTGTGGGCGATTTCTTGACCTTTCCCTTTTTATTTTTTCTGTCAAACTTTTTCTCTTTTAGTTTACACAGTTTAGATGATTTCCTATTTTCCTTAATTGTGCATCCTTTCATTTTTCGAGATTTTTTATTAGTAAGATTTTCTTGCTTAATATCTAAGCTTTTTTCTGTATCATTCTTTGACCAGCAATTTCAAGAGTTCCCCATAATGAAATGTAAATATTTTATTAAGTTCAATTGGACAGGAGCAAGCAGGGGTTTTGGGGTTTTGGGGTTTTGGGGTTTTGGGG